CGCCCCCCACGGGGCCCACGCCCTGCCGCGCCTCGGCGGCCAGGGCACAGCTCGAGTGTTCTAGAAACTTAGGCACCGAGCCCCCGGTGCCCGCGTGGGCCCTGCTGTCCGCGAAGCGGGGCGGCCGCTCCTTGGGCGCCTCCGGCCCCGGGCACTGGCCGGTTTTCCAGGGCTGCAGGTCCCCGGGGGGCGATCGCTGCCGCCGGGCGCAGGTGGCCGTGACAGACAGAGACCGCGAGGCTGAAAGTCAGGGGAACAGGGAAATGAGCACGGCCCAGCCCCAGCCCAACAGCAGGCAGCCGTCCAGTAAGTTCCGTCCCGGGAGAGGCCGGCATGCCTGGGGCGCGCGTTCTGCCCGGCCTGCGGGCAGGGGCGGGGGTCACGGAGCGGGCCCTCAGATGACAGCGGGCTGGTCCTTCTCCTCTGCCCTGGCGGCATCTAGAGGCGAGTCCGCCTGGAGACCAGAGCCTGACGAGCACCCCCACCATGGCACGAGCCGACGGCAGCCACCTCCGAGGCAGCAGAGCTCGGCCCGCCCAGGGCCCGGCTGCCGGCGCCTCCCGGGCCAACGGTGCCATGGCACACGCAGCAGCCCGGTGGTGTCGCCGGAGGAAGCCAGCTTCAGGAGGCCAGCAGTGACAGACTCGGCACAACCAGGCTAAGGCCCCCGCCCCATCTACGAGTCACGGCACACATCCGAGTGGCCCGGGTAGCTTTGGTGGCAAGGAGCGAGCCTGGCAGTTACACCTCGAGAGCTAAAAATCTCGCATGCGGGGCCCGGAGCGCTGGGGACCCCACGTGCCTGGGCGACGCCGTGAGATGGACTTAGGCCCAGGGCCGCCGAGGACCACGGTCACCCCCCCATGCCCGTTTCACAGCAGGTGTCAAAGCGTTTGGGAAAGAAGCGTCTCACCTGTTCCCGGGGCAGCCCGAGACAGGCCTGCTTCGAGGTCCCGGCCGCGGGCGGGGGGCTGGGAAGAGCTGTCACCTTAACCACAGAGAGAATTCAGTTGACACAGGCAAGAGACATCCCTGACAGCACGATGACCCTCCTGTGAGCCACGAGTCCCGCTGGCAGGCACCCCCCACGGGGCTGGCAGGGTCCCAGGGGCCCACATGTCCCCAGCCGCACACAGCGCAGCAGGCTGGGGCCACAGACAAGCCCGGGGCCCTCGTCGGAGGCCCACCCGTGCCCGGGTTCTCCAGGGACCTCTGGGGCACAGGCCCTCGATGGGCACAGCAGTGGCCGTTCCGACGGGCCCAGAGGAGGCTGCCAGCGTGGGGTGACGGGCGCAGAGGCAAAGGGTGCTGGCCGCGGGGCCCGCAGCACAAACCAGACCACGTCTCCACCAGCCGGGCACTGCCAGGCGGTGACCCCTGTGGGCCGGTTCCCGCCAGGGCACGGGCCGGGTCTGGTGTGTGCGGGGTCTCGGCGCCCAGTGGGCCTCCTCCGTGAGAGTCCCCACCAGGGGACACTGCATCCCCTTCCAGCTGGGCGCGATCGACCCCTGTCCCCTGGGAGCTGGCGTGAGATGCAAACACAGCCAGGCTGTCACGTGGGCAACTGTGACACAAGTTCCGGGTCCCCCACCGTGTGTGGCCGGGGCGGCTCTGGCCGGAGGACGGGCCACCAGCACAATGCTGTCACTGAGGCACGGCCGGGCCCTGCCTGGCCCCAGACCCTGCCAGGGCCCTGCGCAGGCGGCATCGCCCAGGCCGGGCCTGCGGGCAGCCGCCACGCCGATGGCCTCAGGCCCTTCTGGGCCTCGGGGCCAGGGACCCCGCAGGCTCCTGGCGGGGGCCGACCCTCTGGGTGAGTTCTCGTTGCCCCAAACCCCCAGTCCCCCACCAGAGCGGCAGGCCTGGTGGGGACCCAGCTGGGCCCCGACTGTCCACCCTGTGAGGCCCTGGGCTATGGGACATTCCCAGTGCGGCCCTGGCCAGGCTCCCAGGGCCTGACTGCGACTCCTGGGGTCACTTAGGCCTCGAGTGCTCAGGGCAGAGCCAGACACGTGCTCGGGACACACGCGGGCTGGGTCAGCCGCACCTGCCGTCTTGGGCGTGCTCGACGTGGGGTCGCTGGCAGAGCGGGCCATGCGCCCAGCACCCAGCCATGCCCACGCGCCCTGGCTGGGGCCCGCGGGGGAGGCGAGGCGGAGGGCTGAGGCTGGCGGCGGGACGCCCGGGGGGCCATCGGGTGTCTGCTGGCTTGGGCCCGGCGCGGCGGCTCCCTCAGGGGCTGGGAGGCTCGAGCTGTCGGCTGCCACTGCAAGGCAAGGGACAGGGCGTCAGCGCCGGCGCAGGACACCGCGGGCCAGCCCACGGCAGGGACGGCACCGCCACACGGCCACCGAGCACGGCGTGAAGAGTGGCCGCCCGGAGCCCTCCTGGCCTCCTGTGACCTCGTTGCCTGGGGCCACTCAGCAGGTGGATAAGTGCCCTGTGGTACAGAAAGGTGGGAGCCCCGGTGACCCCCACACGTCAGTCCACGAGGGGCGTGAGGGCTTCCCACGCCACAGACACGGCCCGCCCAGGGCAGCCCTCGGGAGGCCCGGGACGGTGGGGTCACAAGTGCTCGGTGAGCAGAGACAGGTGGGCCTGGGGGAGGGGGCGGCTGGATGCCGAGCCCCCAGGGGACCTGCCTGCACAGTCAGTCAGGCCTGGGAAGCTTGTCCTCCCCCCTTACCAGGTGGCCGTGTCCCCACTCCCACTGGGGCAGGTGTTCCCGGTGAGCCCGCCTGGGGGCACTTCCTCCCAGTCACAGCAGCCCAGGCCCCCAGGGTGGGCTTTGGGGTCCGCTCCTCCCTGTGGCCTCCCCCCGACCATTTGGAGAAAGACAACGCAGGCCTCGCACGCCGTGCGCACACGCGCGATTTTTCGGGACTGAGTCCTTTCTTTCGTAAACGTGAATAGAACATGCGTGGGACACGGGTGCGGCCGTGTGGCGGAGGCCACGCTGCCAGGTGTGCCCGCGGGGGGACGGCCAGCACCACGGGCGCCCGATCTCAGCCGCACCTGCCCACCGTGTCCTCGTGTAAATCTACCGACAAAACCCCAAACCAAAACGAACAGGAAAACATCGCGAGAGTGAAAAACAGGGCAAAACCTGACCTATCGGTGGACGGCGAACGTGCTTGAAGGTGCTCAAATTCCCGCGTGTGCGTGCGTGTGAGCGTGTGTCACACTCACCTACGTTAAGGACTTAAACTCGGCTGGGTGAACGGGAAAGTTGTCACCGCACCCCCTCCCCCCGCCCCAGTGGGACA